CTCTCTCTCTCTCTCTCTCTCTCTCTCTCTCTCTCTCTCTCTCTCTCTCTCTCTCTCTCTCTCTCTCTCGCTCGCTCGCTCGCTCTCTCTCGCTCCCTCTCCCCCTCTCTCTCTCCCTCTCTCGCTCTCTCTCGCTCCCTTTCCCCCTCTCTCTCTTTCTCTCGCCATCTCCATCGACCTGAAAAGTCCTGCCATGCTGGGTTTGCGTAAACCGTCAGAATGCCCACACATGTACGCGATCTGTAGTCGGGATTCGCGCGGTGGCGATTACATTGGGTTAAGTCGCAGCGAATGACCAGTGTCGTGTGATCCAATAGGGAATTCCCTCCGTGAGTCCGATCTGTGATAGGGAGTCTATGACGTTCGGGGCCATTTGATCGTGACGTTTGATTGGGCCATGTGTTTAAGGCGGAGATCGCCTCTATGTCGCGCTCTCTCTCTCTCGCTATCTCTTTATCTCTCTTTCTGTCTTTTATCTCGTTCGTTTCACTGCGCTTGTCTTTGTCGTTCGCACAAAGTTTGCGAACGTAACTGACAAGCGCAGACAAACGAACGAGACTGTTCCACCACCATCGTCGTCAGTTTTCTATTAGTGCCTCTATGTCGTTCGTCTTTTCCATCGGCCTGCTTTCGCGAATCTAGTTCCATTGGCGACCATTCGCCCCGATCAGATGGCACGCTCACACATCCACGTGGCAGGTCCTGAACAAGCGTGGGCTCGCTGATGGATGCGGGGCTCTATGCGGCAACAGAATGTTGTTGAATAGAGCCCCGCACCCATCAGCGTGGCCACGCATGATCACGACTTGACATGTGGACGTGTGTGTCGTCGTGTTCAACTACCATTTTTGTCCCCGTCGTTAGTTTATCTTCAGCGCCTCTATTTCGTTCGTCTTATGCGTTGGCCTGTTTCTTTCGCGAATGTACCTAAGGGTGCGTTTGCGGATCTCGTTCCGTTGGCGACCACTCACCCCGATAAGATGGCACAGTCAAATGTCCACGTGTCAGTTCCTGAACAAGCGTGTGCACGCTGATGGATGCGAGGCTCTATGCGGCAGCAGAAAGGATGCTAGGCTGCAATATAGCCCCACACCCATCAGCATGGCCACGCATGTTCAGCACATGATATGCAGACGTGTGAGTGTGCCATCTGATCGGGGCGAGATGAAGGAGTTTCGGGAGCAAGAATGCATGCGTTTCATTGGCGATCACTCGCACCGATCAGATGGCACACTCAGACGTCCACGTGTCACATCCTGAACAAGCGTGGCCAMGCTGATGGATGCGGGGCTCTATGCGACAAAGGGGCTCTATGCGGCAGCAGAATGGATGCGAGGCTCCAATACAGCCCCGCGCCCATCAGTGTGGCCACTCATGTTCAGGACATGATATGCGGACGTGTGAGTGTGCCATCTGATCGGGGCGAGATGAAGGAGATTCGGGAGCAAGAATGCATGAGTTTCATTTGCGATCACTCACACCGATCAGATGGCACACTCAGACGTCCACATGTCACGTCCTGAACTAGTGTGGCCACGCCGATGGATGCGGGGCTCTATCTGATCGTCGCCACGCATGTTCAGGAGCTGTCACGTGGACATGTGAGTGTGCCATTTGATCGGGGCGAGTGGTCACCAACGAAACGGGACCCGCGAATGCAGCCCGAGAATGTTGCGACACGCACTTCCAGATTGTGTCGTCACTTCAGATGTTTTGTTGAAGTGTTACTCGCTTGTCGTCAATTTGTTGTCTCTCTCACGAACTGCAACATAAGGATTTCAGTCGTATGTTGTCGAACAAGAGAACATGGTTTCTCACGAATCGTGTCTCTTCTGGATTGCACATGGACTTTCTTCTCGCCGAATAAATTTTTATTGCGCTCGGTTTGTTTATTCGTTTTCCGCGTAAGTCGGGTCGTGCAGTTCGCTCGGCTTCGGTTCTGTATCCGTAAAATGTCCTCCACATTCGTCGAATTTTTCACATTTTTCGCCAATCTTCCTCTCGCCGACACGAACAATTTTTTCTTAAATTTCTTTTGTGTCGTTTTATTAACGGTCACATTGCGAATTCCAAAATGGACAACACCATCCGCAGGATCTGCACATGGAGAGACAGAGAGCTAAATACAGGCTCTCTCGCTGCGCATCCTCTCCTTGTTGACGTCTCTATCGATCTTAGTCTCCCTTCCGTGTCTATGCGGGTTTTCTGCCTTTCTCCAATCTTTGTGTATCGCAGATAGTCACTTAACCGATCTCAGGTTGGTCCCTCCATGAGTGCAATCACAGATCAGTAGTCCGAAGACTGCTACGACAGATTCGAAGACACAGGAGGCGAACGTAAATTCAAATCTTTAAACCCTATCAAACGTCGCGTCAGTCGAACGCCGCGAGGAACCCTTCCCTTGACTTGGACATAGGACAGGACACGGAGCGATCAGATGCTGATAGGGTATTGTCGACGGCCACATGTTTGACCAACCAGGAGGACGACAGCCCACCCTGTCCATACCATCTTGTGGTGGCGCAACAACTGATGTATCCGAGCCGTCCTTGTTAATTTCGGTTGCATCCGAGTCACAACCCACTAAAACTCATGGGGCGACCACTAACCGAGGCACCTGGGCGAAGTTCGGACTAATCCGAACCACACTGACGACAAATTTGGATTTGTCACATGCTCATATGGTATTTACGACGCCGCACGTTCCCATAAACGTGAACGACGAAATCACACGCTGTCAAAAGACCGTTCCGTCTCGGATTAATCCGAACCACACCTCCGACAGGATAGGGTCCACCCTCTGCTCACAGGTCGTTGAGGAAAACACGCCATGCCGATGTCCTCCTCTTGTGGTCGGCCTAATTCGGATGCATCCGAGTCACAACGTCGGTCTTTCGACTCTGCCCAGTTCGGATGTATCCGAACTACCACACTGTCTTCGTCTTCGAGAAAGCTGCCTCGGATTCATGCAACTAAAACGAGTCCAGATGGTTACGCTCGGTGGAAGAAAGACGAGCTAGAAACTTATGTTGCGACTACAACAAACGTGTTTGTTGTTTGGATTGGGCGAGCAACAACCAACTAAAACTCACGACGATGACGATATTCCCCGTGATGACGCACAAATTATGATGACACACTACGACAATCGCGGGGAGGTCCATGTGTGGTGGAGCGACAACAAAGCGAAGCGCCTCGGCGAAGTCGGATTAATCCGAACCACACCGGTGGCATTTTCGGATTTACCACATGCGCAGAGGGTATTGACGACGTCGCACGGTGTGATAAACTTGTACTTCGAAAGCACACGGTGTCGGCGCAGCCTGTCGTGGTCGCACGTATCGGGACAGCCTCTGACGAAATCGGATAAATCCGAGCCACACCCGTCTTAAACACTCAAGGACGAAGACACACCATGCAAAATTTGGTTGGACCCGATGACAGCTGGGGAATAATGGAAGCTTGGATGACTGGATGGGCGTCAACAGACCGTGGGGTCCATCCGCACGTCCCTGTCTCGGATTAATCCGAGCCACATTTGCGAAGTTCAGGTTCAACCGAACCGAACCTCCGGCAGGATAGGGTTAACCCAGTGCTCGCAGGTCGGTGATGAAAACACGTGCTGTAGATGACCTCTTGTGGACGACCGTATCTGGACCGCGCTGTTCGAATTCGGATGCATCCGAGTCACAACCGTTACCGACTCAGAAGGACAAGAATACTTGAGTTCGGTTTCGTATGGGCCGACAGGGGGAGGTCCACACCGCTTTGGAGCTCGGATTCATCCGAACTACAACGGTGGACTTTACAATCCACTTGTCGACTTCGGATGACAACGTACTCACCTTCGTCTGCCGTATCAGCGTTCTAGGGCCTTCTTGCGAGGTGTTGCTTTTCCCCGATTAGGTGCCTATGCGACATCTGTTTTTCGACTGCACCTGCTTCAGATGTATCCGATCTATCCCACGGTCTTCGTTTTCGAGCATTCGTTCTCTTAAGGGCAGTGTGACGAGGATGGCTGACGATGCCTCGGATTCATCCGAAACGTGCACGCTTGTGGACCACTGTCGCCTAACTATGACTGAACTTCGTTCTTTTGGAGTCCGGGTGACCGATAACAGAATACGTGTCGTGGGTCGTGGTTGATGTTGGAACGTGCTAACTGTTCTGAGTGAATGTGGGTTCATTTCCTCTATGTGTTTCAGGGAATGGCTTCACACGGACGAGGCCGCTCCGCTGGTGGTTCCACCCCGCACGGAGAGGAGCGTCGAGGGACGATGTCGTCGCCGGCAAGGGAAACGAGTCAGGGAGTTGGAGGTGAGGAGGAAGAACGACGTGCTCAAAACTTGTGGTGCGACTACAACAAACATGTCTGGTATTTGGACTGCGCGAGCCAGGACGGCTCCGACCCGTTGCAACCACCGTGCGGGCCGCTCTTGTTCGTCGTTGTTCGCGCCGACAGAACGCTTCCCGCAGGGTCCATCGTCCAGTGGGTCGACGATGGCGAATACAATTTCAAGTTTACGTTGAAGAAGCATTACAGAAGTGATGGTTCTGTCGACGGCATCGCAAAGGGATGCAAGGTTGCCGGGAGGATGTTCGGCGGGTACGGCCGTCGTGCGATGTCTTTGCCTCACTTTCTTCCGCTAGCGTCGGGGCACGACGAGGCCGTTCACGTCATAGACTTCCTCGAGGTCTGGGCAAAATCTGGTACCTCTGTCAGTGCCGTGGACATCGGACCTGGAACATCGATCAGTGGTCTTGTTGGGTTCGCGGGAGGAGAGTGCTCTGGAAGGGAGATGGGAGGTCAGGGTGGCCTGCCAGCTACGCCTCCTGATCAAGAGGTGGGCATGTCAGACGACTCGGAGGACGACCATCCGCGTGCTCCTTTGAAACCGGGCTTCCATGTATCTTGCCGCCACGGTTTGCTTGGAGAGTCGACGCCACATGGAGGCGGCGATGGCGAATGGTTGCGACAGGGCTCAGAATCGACGACTCCTCGTTGTCTGGTTGAAAGGATTGGTTCGTTCGTTCGTGGCATGCAGGTGGCCGAGGTTTCGCCTCGAGATCGAGCGGGTGGTGGGCAGGTTCGAGAGGTGCGTGGGTCAGATGAGACGACTCGCCGGGCCCGACCAGCGCCGGGGGAACTGCAGACGGAGTTGAGCTAGGAACGAGAAGCAGGTGGGAACGTCGCCGGTGAGGAGGAGGTGTCCGAGCAGAGGCTGTTCCGTGAGAGATCAGCTGAAAAGACTCAGTCGGAAGGCAAGCGCAACTTGCCGGATGAGGAAGAGCGAGAGGGACTAGGTGCTCTGAAAAGGCAGAGAAAGGTAGGAGGGAGTGCTCAGACACCAACAACACGAGAGGGCGGTTCCGTTGAGAAGAGGAAAAGGGTTGGAGGTGGGGATGAAACGCCAAAAGACTCGTCGACACAGCGAAGAACCGGTGAGTCTTCCGGGAAAAGGGCGAAATCATCGAGGGGGAAGAAAGCAGACGAGGGCGATAGCGGGGAGGGGGATGACGACGTGGAGATTAACCTCAACGCCTTTAACCTCGACAATGCGTTCTTCCTCGAGATGCAGACAGGGGTGCAGAAGGACGTCGTGTTGCACATCCATCCCGAAAGAATATTAGCCATTCCTGACTGGGAAGACGCGTACAACCACCGATCCTTGGACGAGTTCCTCGTTGATACCATCGCGTCGGCTATGATCGACTGCTACGAATGTAAAGACATGAGATACACGAAGCCCATTTTCGTTCTCGCTCCGATCRTCGCGCCTCCAGAGAACGGCGAGMCTGYTGTGCGCGTGCTGCCTGCTGACTTCGACAGCTCACACCCGGAGAGATACTGGTATTATCCTGTGTGTGGACAACATAACGCGAGGGCGGCGATGATGGTGAAAGACCATCCCGTGTTTGATTACTACAACTTCTGTAAATGGCCGTTCATACCGATCTACTTCCCTGACGACGAGTTCGACAACTACGCCCATGTCAGCTGCGAAGACAACATGAAAGGCAAGAAGAATCCACCGCGCTTGCAGGTTTTATCTATGTGGGACATTCACAATATCTGAAAAATTGAGGGCAAACCGCATGTGGTGCTCGACAATGCCTCGAAGAAACAGGACGAGGTGCGGTTCATGGCGTTGGCAATGAAGAAGACGTCGTACACGCCTATCTGGAACCTGTCAACGGAAGCAAAGAAGAGAAAGGAATGGGCTGAGAAACTTCGATACTCCGTCTTCGCTTTGGGGTTGAAGTTCTATGAGGAGTGGTCGAAAGGGAAACTGCTTGCTTCCGACGGCCAGCGTTGGACTGAAAAGCCGCCCACCCATGAGGAGGTGGCCAAGCCAGGACTCTCCGCTGTGACTGACAGCCAGGGGCTGAGGAAACACGTCTGGTACGTGAAGGTGGATGACCCGTCGTTGAAAAAGGGTAGGGGGAAGCCAAAGAAAGGCGCGGAGGAGAAAACTTTCTACGTCCAAGTTCCAGAGCCGGATGTCCACTGCTGGAAGGAATTGGTGGACTTGACGGACCGCGAGAAGAAAAGGTTGTTGAACGGCGTCTTGAACCTTAATGTCGTGTGGGTTCAAACGAATAGCAAAAAGTTGGCCGAGCAGGGGAAGTTCAGTGTCAAGGAGATGGTCGACATAATAAAAATGGACCGGATTATGCTGAGGCTGTGGCACTACGTGGAATTCGAGTACGAGGAAATGGATAAGCGGGAGTGGAATGCCAACTCCACGTTCTTCAGGTCCAAGAAACAACTGTTCGAAGAGTTCAAGGACAGAGGTCTCGACGACAAGCTTTGGAACGAGAGCAGGAAATTTTTCACAAGCACCACATATGTCAACAAGTGCCCTCGGTTTCTCGGGTGTCAACACAACAACAACATCAAGAGAACGGCGGCCCTCGTCACCGACCAGCATTTCCCGGCGGAGTGGAAGCATATCGTCCTTTCGGTGATCACTGAAGATCGCGCCAAAGGCAAAAAAAACCCTCGGGGCGTCGATGAATGCATCAACATTATGTGGACAAGGACAAGCGCCTTGACGATGCTAGCCCAGTTTAACCTCGACCTGTTGAGTGCCATAGATCATAAGCAGGTGCTGGGAAAACTAGGGCATCAGCTACGCTCCCACACTTGCGTGCTCGACTTGTGCGGTGCTGTGGACCGTGCGCAATGGGACTCTGGGGCATTCGCGTCTCTGAGTGAGTTGCTGGGCTTCGTTTGTCAGGACTACTGGACATTGGTGGTATTCGTCCCCTGCCTGTGGAACCTCTCCTTCATTACATGTTTGTCTGCGCTTGGGGCTACGTGATGCTACACGGGGAAGTGGGTTCGGAAGACGACATCGAAGAAGATGCATCAGTTCGAAACAGCGTCTGGGAGGAGCCAGGTGTGATGCACATCCTTTTCAAAGGCGAGGATCCTCGGCTACTGACTCACCCAGTGTACGAGGGAGCTGTTGCTGAAGACGACGACGCCGCTCTCCGGAGGAAACAGAAAGTGACACCCACGGATGTGGAGGAGAAGTCTTTCAAGTCTTTGACTTTCACGGACATCGAAAACCTGACCCAGAGGGGGGCTCTGTACAAGGACGGCGACCGGAATCCAAATCAGTTGTGCAATCAGCTTCTTTTCTTCTGTGGTGTGGCGGATGCCGTGCTGCTCTTGGGCAAGCCGCACGCGCAGGTGGTGTGGAGTCTGGTTCAGCAGGGAAGGCACGTCTTGGCTGTGGATGGGGACACAACGGTGCTCGAATACACCGTGAAGTATGTCACCCATGAAGTGTCGTCCAAGGCTTACCCATGCGATTTCCACCATGTCGTGGTCGAACCCATTTATGACCCGAACAAGGACATGTTCTTCAAGTTGAGTCCGAAGAAAAGGCGTTAGGTCTACTCCTTTCTTTACGGCGAACAACCAAGGTTGAGATTTGAGCCGCAGTACGTGGTGCGGAAGGAAGTCGCCATTGCGGTCCTCCAGGGCTACCACGGAGCGAGTCGGGCCGGCGCTGTGAGCTTCATTAAGAGGCTGGAATATGTCTTTTTTAACGAGGATGTTGTCGATCCGGCCGACTTCACTTTGGATAAGTACTAACTGGCATTCGGTGAGGAGGACGACTTCAATATCGAGACTGAGCAGGAGGAGAGCGTTGAGGACGACCTCTTCGATTTGGACAGGCAATTGGCGATCTTTAACGCCCAAGTTTCTGAGTCGCCATCAGTATGCAAACCGGGGACACCTCTCGCTACATATACTTCGAACGGTCCCACGCCCGTGTCCTCCTCGGCGCCTGTCAAGAAGGGTGGGTTGACCCGTCTGAGGAGTTCGCCGGGGGAGACTATTCGTCTCATGCCGCAGCCCGAACGTCTTCGACCCGGCCATCCTGTTCCTCCGGACCATCCGCATCTCAAGGCTTCTGCGACTCCCTTCCACATGGGCGACAAACACACCTTCTCCACAGCCGAAGATTGGGGCCATGATATTGTGTGGCACCCAGACCATTTCCAGCCAGTCCTTCTCGATGGCGAATGGGCAGTGGCTGTGAGGGACGTAAGTGGAGGGTGAATATATGATGATCGTTGGGACCTCGAGACATTCAAATCTCGCACCTACGATGCGGTATTGGAAAGATTAAGTGAGGTCAATCGACGAAATAAGGACGACTCTGCTCTTCGCGAATACGGGGACACGCTTTTCGAGTTCTTGCAGTCAAATAAATGGCTAGAAGTGTCCTCCGCGTTCTACGCCCTTCCGTCAAGCCTGTCAATTAAGCAAGTGAGTTGGGAGTTGCCTGGGGTCACCCCGCCGGCAGGAGTTGTGAAGCGCAAGTCTCGCGGAAAGGACGGCGATGAGGATGGTGAAGGCGGCGGGCAACGAGGTATCGAAGGTGGAAGTGAACAAAGATCGACGAAACAGCGGTCTCCGGGGCACGCAGGCGGCGGAGAGGGGAGAAAGTGCAGCTGGGAGAAGAAGAAGCCTCGCAGCGGAGATAAGACAAAGCATCACAGAGGAGACGGGCAGGGGTCCGATGTCGACCGCGACGAGGACGGTGGGGTTCTGGCCGTAACAGGCAGGACCTCAATGGAGACGGGGAACGACTTGAGGCCTGGGTGTATTACGCGGCCTGGCGAGCAGGACCCTGTGATTAGCTCCACCAGCGAAACACAGTTTGTCGATGCGGTTGGCGGGGTGGGTGTCGCAAAGCATGGAACATGCTTCGCTCAGCTCCAAATACAGTTGGCGGATTGTCTCAGATCAATCCGAACCTCGGGGACGACCTCGTTGTCCGGAACTCAGTGCCTTCCAGGAAGCGAGACGACAACATACCACGGGTCCGGCAGCGACAAGCTGGAACCGTGTTCCGTTTCGCCTCAAAAGGAATTTCGGATTAATCCGAACCGCGAAGGCCGTGCCATCGAGGGAGCACAACTGTCTACAGAACTCGAACGGGTGGTCCGGGTTTTTGAAAACCCTGGCAACGAAATTCGGATTCATCCGAACCAGGAAGCCGTGTCTGCCATGACAGACGATCGGTGTCAGGATGCACTAATGCTCTGCGTGGAAGCCCACAAGGAGCTGCAGGCGGACTCTCGGACTGAGGGTGAGTTGGCGACTAGTTCCAATGTCGATCCCAACACACTCGGAGCCGAGTTAGCAGTCGTAAGCGACTCCCCGATGAAAGCGGACATGTCGGCGTCATTGGAAACTGCGGGGGCTCGGATGAATCCGAACCAGGGCCATGTGAACATCTCCCTTCCTGATGCATCCTTGGAGACGACCCTTATTCGGATTCATCCGAGGCACACAGACGAAGGACTTCAACTGGCAGGCGTTGAGGGTTTTCGACTACTGACGACTTTGGACAAGGACAATTCCGCCGACGACCGGATTGATCCGACACTCAGCGACGTCGGGATGGAGCTACCGGTTCAGCCGGGATACGACGATCCCTTGTACTCCGCCTTTCACCACGAGGCGATGGGGGAGGACGTTCTGAAGAAGGCCTCTGACGCTGTTGGAGATAGATTTCTCTATTTGAGTGACGACGACAAAGACACAGCGTACGGGGACAAGAAGTTAAGGGGGGGACAGGTGTTGTTGGACATCCATGGGACATTGAGCCCAACATAATACGACACAGTGGCAATGGACAAAACACAACCTGTCGATGTTGTGGACGTCGACGCTCTTTGTCCGGAGACGAATATACCGTCTACAGTCATCGACGTCGACATCTCGAGCCTGTCAAGTTTCCCTGTGGGTTTGGAGCACGTCGACGCGCGCAGGGGTGCCAATCGTGCTGGGACTGTCGTCGGTGGGCTCTGGTGAAGTGGTAGCTAGGCCTGGTAAGCACTGACTTTCTCTGCTTTCTTTCTGCTCGTCAGCCCGTTCGTGAAGTGTTGTTTGCTTCGTCGATTTCGGGGAGGTGTATAGGCGGCGGCCAACTGGATTGTGACGATGTGCTTCGTGAGGTGCTGTTTGCTTGGTTGCTCTTGCGAACTTGTGTTGTTGATCTCCTGCTAAACTGTGTGGGTGGCTATTTCTTGTACAGATCGACGAACTCGTGGACAAACACCCATGTCGCAGGAGCCGCCTGCCCTCGCTAGGTTTTCAGTCCTGGTTGCGGGAGGCACTGGTCGTCGCAATGTCACAGATGCGTTCCCTAGGGACACTAAGCCTCGAGGCCCTTCCAGAAGGGTAGTTGTGCCCATATTGGGCTCCCGCGCAAGACTCGTTGCCTCTGCAACGGGTGTTGCCGAAAAAGACTGCAAGGAATTCCTTCCCGAGGCTTGTAGGGATATAAAGGACAGTGCTAGTTTAGAATCAACTGTGTGAAAAAGGTCCAGAAGTAGGGGTGACGTTATGCGTGAACTTTTTGGACCACATAGTAGCGGTTCCTCGGACCATGGCCGCTAGGACGATATTTTTTCATAGTGCACCGTCCTTTGTGCTTGCTATGTGCTGCGGGTGTTTGTTGAACAGGGTTTCCTCGAGATGGAAGAGCGGTTCTTGAAGACGTTATCTGCTCCCGGTTGCCGCTCACTATCATCGTCGCGCGTTTGCCGTCCCACAGTTTACAGACATTCGTCAAGGACATCGTCGCACTCGTGGATAGATCAGGGGAGCTCAACGATGAGGTTGTTAATTTCTACATGGCGATGCTACTGGACGACTGTGGCCGGACTGCCGCTACCATGAAGACATACACCTTTAACTCCTTCTTCGCCTCTTCACTGCTTCTGCGAGGTCCGACAGCTGTTCTCAGATGGGCTAAAGATGTCGACCTCATGTCTCATAACCTCGTCTTGGCACCAGTGCATAAGGACGGCGAACACTGGAGCCTTTTGGCCATTGACTTCTCTAGACGTGTTTTGGAAATCTATGATTTTTTCTCGTGTTCGTCATCCAAAGATTCCTTCTACTCCGCACTTCTGGATAAAACTATTAAATTTTTGAACACGGTGGCAGGTGCCGCCGGTGATGGTCGCACTTTCGACCACTTCGCTCGCGAAGTCAGCGTGAAAGGTGTTTCTCGGCAGCACGACGGGGCTAGTTGTGGGGTGTTCATGTTGATGTTCGCTTCAAGTTTGGCGAGAGGTTTGCATCCACCTTCTGGTTCCTCCCATAGACACATCTCCTCTATCAAAACTAGACTATCTTTGGCGATTTGCGATGTTGGTAGGTAAGCGTCTATCTCTTTGTTGATCATGTAGTGTAGAAGGGATGACGAAGAAGAACATTTCGTTCTTCTCTGGGCGAAATTTGTTCCTTTTCATTTTTTCTGAGAGGGACTGGTGCGTGTTCTCGGTTTGGTTCAGAGCAGAACTGGCTGTCACTGCCAGGAAATCTCCGGGTGAACTTGTCATGTCCCCGGCGTGTTTGTCGTCTACAATATTGTTCTTTCTCATTGGATTTCCATTATCACGAACGTCCCCGTTGTTGGGGCGCCTGTTTCGTGATTGAATATCTCGCTTTCGTCATTTTGTACCTTGTGTGGTGTGATGTTCTGCCCGCATACTCGAATGCATCCAGGCTTGAACTAACTCTATGCTTTTCTGCCTCTCTCCCGAACCTCCCCCGTCGTCTACACTCATCTATGCATTTTCACTTTGAATGTTGTGAGGCGTCACAGATAACAAAATACAACACACGGGCCTCTTTATACATTTGATGGCCCGTCTGGCCCTCCGCACTGTGTGCTTTGTGATTCCGACATTGAATGCTGTCAATTCTTTGGCCTAGCAAAGCTCCCCTTCTGCACGAGCATTCTTACATTCGGTTCCTATGCATTACCCAATACAATGAAAAATTTGAATGTGCTGAGAGGGAAAACCCAAAAGGCGACGCCAATGGCTGCTCGAATGCGATGACATTTGAATTAAGGTGGCGCGGCTGAAAATACAATTGCATGATTGGACAAAATTGGATGTGGTGACGGAAGGATAAATCACAAGGCGAAGCCGATTGATACTCCAAAGTGACACAAACTGAATTATGCTGGCACTCATGATTGGTGAACGCCTCAATTTCCGAAAAACGAATTCAAGAATCAGCTCTCTCTCTCTCTCTCTGTCTCTCTCTCTCTCTCTCTCTCTCTCTCTCTCTCTCTCTCT